TGTGTTTCTACAGATTGAAGCAATGCTCTTTGAGGAACCGCAAAACCCGTCTTTTCCACAGGCTGAATGTTTCCAAACTATTTCCTGCAAAACTCTGCAATAAAGTCTCTCGCTAAATTACACTCATTAGTTAAATTAGGTTTCATTACCATCTTTTCCCTCAGTGCCCATTACACCAGCTGGATGCTGCATTTCAGGAATCCATTACATGCTAACAACAAAAAAATTTTCTCTTAAAAAAATTAGAAATAATTAAAAAAAAGAGACTCTTTGGTGATAAACTAGTCCATGTTTCTTTAAAGGTCCAAGAGGTTATCAGAGAAGGGGAGGCAGATGAAACCACTGCTTTTGGAACCAGTGTTCTCTAGAATGCCCTGTTCTTCCAATTTATTTTTTTTTAATAAGCATAATTAATGGAAGCAATAAGTTTTTATCCACACAGACAGCTTTTTGACTAATTCAGGCTTTCTTTTATGCACTCAGCTGTCTCTAAAAAACACAAGCAACACAACCCAGCACAGCAAGAGGGGAAAAACGTGCTGGCACATGGGATTACAGCTCATCACCTCACTGAATGGCTCGTGGCATTTGCCACTGCCACAAAAAAAAAATAAAAAAATAAAAGATGTTGATAATAGACATCTGCACTATACCATGCCTTGGAGCTTACTTCCCTTAATTTCACATTAGAAATTAAACTAGAGTCTTGCAACACCTGGATATTTCCAAAACCTGACATTTAGGTAACCAAACTGCCCCCTCTTCTTCACTGCAATCTACCCATACCGAGGGATTTCACAGGAATCCGAAGGACTTTTAAGAATATCTGGGTGTTTCAAGTTGTACTAACTGGTGAATAAAAGAAAACGAGAAGGCTTCTGTCTGTTGAGTAATTCCAGTAAAACAAAAACCAGAGCAGGCTGGGAGGTTCGGCATACCTGTGTTACCAAAACCTCAAAATTGAAGGGTGGGAGGGGGGAGCAAAGAGCGTTTTCAGCATAAGTTAGTTGGGAATTCACAGCCTTCAGAGCATCACCAAACTCAGCCATGCCCCGGCACTTGGTAAAACAGAAAGGAAAGTATTACAGCTATTTGCATCCCTGACACAGCCGGGGCGCGGGAAAAAAAGAAACAACCTTATATTGCTAAGTGACGGGCTGAGTCAAACACTTCTTCTTTAATGAAAACTTTATTAAATCCCAGCACACTTACGGTTTTGGAAATTGCTTTTAGTGAGTTTGATGAGTTTTGGAGCTAGGATTTAATGTCATTGTCTTTTACATTTAATCTTATTTGAATTATATTTAATTTGATTGCACTGCAGTGCTTACTTGCATGAGGACTTCACCATTTTGCTACTTATTCACTCCTTTGCAAGCAAGACACCCACCTCCCCCAGTGTTACCCCCCAGCACAGCCCAGTGGGTGTTCATAAATCACAGGGTGTCCCGCAAAGCCTACAAAGCTGCTGTGCTTGGTGGTTTGGGTTTTGGTTTTTTTTTTTGGTGGGATTTTTTTTCCCCTCCAGACATACATGCTACGGAGGCTCTGCAGCTACTGCTGAAGGGGGTTGCCTTTCCCACCCCCCCCCCACATTTCACCTCTATTTCTCAGCGGCTCCCAGCACCGTGCAAGATGAAGAAAAGCCCTGTCCTGCCTCACTTACCTCCCACATGGTTTCCTCATCTCCTCCCCAGTGAAGGAACCCTTCATTACTTGCACCACACAGGCTCTACCCTCAGTTTTGTTCCTCCTTGTCCTGCTTTAACTCTTTCACACACCTGCCATCAATGAAAAATTAAGTAACTGTCAATCACTGCCACCTTTCTGTTTTTTTCTGCCAGGAAAAAAAAAAGAACCCTTTGGCTACAGCTAGCAACAAGCAAAATGTTAAGAAATGGGTAGGTTATGTGCATTGCTTCACTTCTTGGAATGTTGTTCAGACACAGAATAAGGCTGTAACCCCCGTGAAATGCAGCGTGGTGGGCGCAGAGAAGGCGAGCGAATCATCTGCTGCTCTTGCACCGTTCACACAAAATCTACATTAATCACTCTTTACCTCCCTGATCTTTATCTCGGGGTATAATGTAAAATGTCAGCAAATAATTTAGTCTTTACTAGGTTTAATTCCCTCAATTAGCTCTGTAAAAACTTTTCAACTCGGTTAGCAAAATCAAAACAAAGCCCAAAAAGGTCACGGAGGGGTGCAGGGAGCCATGCCTTGCAGCCCTTAGCAGTCTTCCCATCCTCCACACACCAGAGGCAGCAAGGCAGTAGTTTATTAAAAGACCCTGGAGAAAATCAATATCCAACCTGGGAATCCAGATTTCCAAAAAGCTCTTAACCCAAATTTCCCAGTGTGGCGCAAGACTGGGTGCACATTTTCTACCGTCTACATGGACACGTGTATTGGTGACACTGCCAATTCGGGACGTGAGCAGAAGTTAGCTGTTGCAGCTGCTATCTTGTGCATCAGAAAAATATCAGAGATGGCACAGACCGACAGCCAAGAGACCTTACTCCCGTGTTTGAAGAATGCCCTTGGAGCTGGTGGGTTTTCCTGTTGCATCTCACCATGGTACATTCACCTCCCAACTGAGCGCGCAGATTGAAACTGAGAAAGTATCTGGCCTTCAGGATATTTATTAGTAACAGAATTAGGAAAAAAAAGCTAAATTTCTGAGCTTCTGAATGCACAGAATTACTTCATTCATTCTTTTCTCCTCTTTGACCTTGATTGGTAGGTCTCTAACAAAATTAGCAATTAACAAAATGAATTTAAGATAATGCAATTTTATCTGGATTAGTTTAGCTGGGCCCTGGGCACATGCATTGCACAGAGAGCTCGCTACTCTCATATTTTTTCCCGCATATTCTGTCTAAACATACTGTTGCAAAATGTTACTGTCAAAGAGATTTTTCCCCTCTCTACATATAACAGCTAATGAGCAGGAAAACATTAAACCAGGCGTGTTTCTTCAGGAGAAAAAAAAATGACGCAAGGATTCAGATGGGGGTGTGGGAAGGCAGCGGCAGGTTTCAAACCCCTCAAGTAGCAGGACCAGCACGACCCTGCTCCTCGTCTCCTTGATTTGCAGTGGGTTGCCTGGAGCTGAAACATCTCACACGGTCTCCACCAGGCTGTGGAGCTCACTCCAGCCAGGATGGGTGAAATGCCGGGGTTTCAACCCCAGCCCCACATTCGGGCTGACATCTGGGTGATCCCCACAGCCCTTCCCAAAGGGGGGTGAGGTTCCCTTTAGCCTTCCCCCCAGGGTGGGCGGCCTGGCAGACAGAGCCACTGGGTAAAGGAGCCCCAGGGGTCCCGCAGTCAGTAACCCATGCTCAGGTGTCCCACCTGGGGATAACAGCGGGGACCCCTCGCAGGAGGGGCAGTGTCTGTGTGTGAGGTGGATGCCCTGTGCAGAGTTCCCTGTTGGGGAAGGACCTCCCGCCTCCCTGGGACTGGGCTCCAGGCAGCTCTGGCTTTTGTAAACATGGGCTGTGCAGAGATTCAGTCTGTGGCTTCCTTGGTCTGATGTGTTTGGCTTGTTGACTCGGTTGTCTCCTGTCCCTTCTACAATAAACTGCATGTCACCATTTATTCCACCCACTGTTGGCCATGCGGTGTCGTTGTTGGGGTCAGTGGGATTGATATCAATTATGTATAATCTGACTTGTTTGTACCCCCAGCGCTCACCCACGTACTGACCCTTCTGTATCAAATACAATCTGGTTATTGGCTCACCTTTATGCTGACTGTGTCCTTTATGCTAGGCCTGGTAATTAGCAAAACAATGGGTTCCAGTGTTGGCTCTGCCCAAGCCCAAGCTATTTCCCTGTCACTGTTACTGTATGACAGACATAAGTGATGTAGGTGGATGACACTTCACTGGGAGAGGGGAAAGGAGAAGGCAGCATGTGTGTCTTGAAGACATTCTGATGGGATCTCTTTCTTTTCCTGTGAAATACAACTTCTGTTCAGTGGCGTCCACCCGCAGCTGATGTCTCCATCTCCGGCAAAGACAGGTTGTGAATCCTGTGCAGCGGAACCGCTCTTGGTGGTGCTTTGGGAGGTAAGGCCACAGTCACCCCCCACAGGAGAGAGACCAAGGGCACAGCATCCCTCCTGAGAGCCACAACCTGAAGCCGTATCTAACCCGGGCTCTCTTAATTTAATTGCACAGAGAAACAAAATGGTCAGTGGCTCTCAGTGGCACAGACCAGGCGGCCAAAGAGCTGAGAAGACAAACAACTTGCAGCTCCTGGCTGTAAACCAAGGCACTGCGTTCCCTCCCTTCCCAGAAACAACACTCGAGGTGGCCTTGTTCGTGCTCCAGTGTTCTCTACATCTTCGATTTCCTGTAATTCTGCTCAGCCACAATATTATAGGGTTTATAACATTTTCCGTTCAGGCACAGGGAAGATTGTAAACACGTGTCTCTCCCACTGTTGGCGCTGAAGGCTCACCTTCAGCAACATGGCAATGCCTGCGATGCGCTGAGGAAGCTGGCAAATAAAATCGAGGTGAAAGGGTCTCATTTCAGAATTTTCCAGCATGTGGTTGGGTGTGATGCATGGCACAGAGCTGTGTCCACCTGGCTGAACTTCTTTGCACGAAACAAGAGCCATGGTGGGAGGGCAAGGTATCCATCTGCCCAGATGGTTTTTAAACTTCATTGGATCACTGTTCCCCTTCTCCACCCAAGTTATCTTCAGGATTACGCAACAGGCAGGAATAGCCACAAATTGTCCTTAAAATTTGGGTTTATTATTCACAGTTTTGTTGTAAAAAAACCCCAAAAAACAAACAACAAAACCCAAACAAAACCGCATAGCTAAAATTGCTAAATAAGTTGGAGCCTGTACACCACCAATTAGCCAGGCTGGTGGTACACCTCGAGGGCTGCTGTCAGTTCTTGCTGTTGGCTAGAATCTGCAAGCAAAAGAACCGAGGCCACATAAATTTTCTGATTGGCTGCAAAAATTTGGATACAGCCTCTGTTGGGATGTATAAATAGAAAGCGAAGTATTTTAGACCTATCACTTTGAAAGCAGAGCTCTCAAGGCACATGAAAATGCACAGAGTCACAGCAGTCATCCTCGCGATTGCGATCTCCAGTGGTGAGTTAGCTGGATTTTAGTAAACACTGCTCGTTTGTAACCTGTCTTCTTTTTCTTTCTCTGTTTTTCGGGTTGTTTTTTTCTTTTTCAATGAAGGTTATCTGTAAGGATTTAGAAACTGATTTGTTCCCTGCCATTTTTTTGCTTTTGAAAAGAACTCCTCTCGCATCGCATAGAAACCTCCAAGGAAAAATCTTTTTTAGAGATGGTAAAGAGTCGTGGCACAATTTTGTTGGAGTAATAATGTTGACTGAATAAGAAAGAATCAGCTGAGGCATATCAATTATTAGACAGCATGCATGCTTTCTTAAAAGCCTTTTACTTAAAGACCAGCCCACTGAGCATAAAGTGTTCCCAGAGATATTTCTGTGTTTAATGTCATCACTTTTGATTTCAAGAAGAATACACAGTTCATTAAAATAAATTAAGGCTACCTAGAAAAAAGGGCTGTTTTGCTTGGGGAAGGCATTAGAGATTTCCTGCACCTTTTTAGCACCAGATCTTCAGTGTCAGCACATCATTTTCCCTGTTTGTGTATATTCCCAGAGCCCAACAGGGATGGGGCCAGCCGAGCTGTTCCCACAAGCGAATAAACCCTCAACTCGTTGCTTCTTCCTACACCACCCCTGTTCTTACTAAAGCATCCCATGGGAAACCCCAGTAGTTTTGGTGGGGGGAGCAGGGCTGTTAGAGGCTTGTAGAAGTTACCAAGACAGGGGTTGCCTTTCAACCCTTCTCCCCTAGAAATGTCTTTCCTCTCAGACATCACTGGGGCTGTAGGATCATTGCTGGGGCCATAGGATCAGCATGGCTTTGACTGTGGGTGATGACAACCAGAATCTGGAATAAAAAATATGAGGATGCTACTCTACTGGCTGCTACTTTGAAAGAGTTAATAGAGAAGCACTGGGAGATAGAAAATGCAATTAGTAAAAGGTAGATGACAGCTTGTATTTTTGACTGGATCCAGCATTGGGGAATAGGTGGCCCAGGTCACCTTCCAGGCAGAGGCACCCCACAGCTCCAGCCCCACGTCTGCCACGTGAACACAGCTCAGCACGTCTGCCATGGGCCATGGGAGAGATGGTCACTCCGTGATGTCCCCTCCAGATCTATTTGTTCTGCGTTTTTACTTTGAAGTCACTGCTTTAAGTACCCTCAAACATCACCGGGCAAAGAATAAAACAACAACAAAAAAGCTGCTTCACTGCATCCCTAAAATTAACTTGCATTAAAAGATGAACTGAAGCCCTGACCCATGGTTACAGCAAAGTCCAAAGGGATCTTGCTACTGATTAAACAACAAGAGCTGGGAAATCCCTTTTCTAGCTTCTGGGTTTCATCTTCTGTTCTTCTCTTTTTTTTCTTTTCTAGCTACTGCAGAACAATGGGCAAAAATCTGCTCAAGTCAACCTGCAAACAGAATCAGAGGCTGCGACTCCCAGGGCTGTGGTGGATACAATGACCCCAAGGTCCTGGGCCGGGATGACGGGAGATGGTTGTGCTTGAAACTTTCTTAAAATAAAAATAAGCATGAAAAAACAGACGAGAGGAGGGTTTCTAGCTGGCAAGGTGCTCCACTGCGGGCTAACCAGGTTCTGTTAATGCAGAAAGATGGATTGAAAGGATTACAGCATTCCACCTTTATAAAAAAAGGGCAAAGGATGAAGCTGGTCCCTTTGCACATTTTGGATAATTAAGGGAACAACCTCTGACTTGCTCATGAAGTTCTACCCACCCTAACCCCTTTCCCCATCCTCCTCCATATTAATTTATTTATTTTCCTATTCTTGATACTATAGGAGCATCACAGCATTTTCGATAACTTTTTCTGCTGCTGAATCTCTTACCATTTTATTGTAATTTGTATTTTGCTACCGAACATTATGACTTTGTCAGGCTTTCAAACCATTTCATAGCAGCAACAGCTTCCCCTTCTCCTCTCTCCCCTGTTAACAGGCTTCTGCATTAAGATGTTTTACAGCAAACCCTTGAAGTACAGCGGCCTTGTCAAGAAGGGAGAGAGAATCGGCGTCATGCTGCCCATGCAAAGGCTCTATCAAGGAATTATATCCCATGTCCATATCCAGAACTGGGACTTAACAGATCCTACTTCCAACCTGTAAACAGGTGGCTGCACATCAGGAGCAAAGCTTTCAGCCCCTCACTTGTGTGTTCATTAAATCGCTTAGGCATAGGTAGTCACTAGTAAAATAGAAGCCACTGAGCCTCAAACAGTTGTTCCACCCGAAAAGTATCCAAGAACAAAATGCTGGTGGTTATCTGAACATAAAGAGACTCGGAGTAAGGTATAACACGTGTTAAAGCTGTTACTGTGTCCTGCACATCCCTGCACCAGTGGATGAGGGCTGAAGCGGTGGGGAAGGGCTGGGAGGAGGTGGGTCCTCGATGCTCAGCAGCACTACAGTCAGCTCTGCTGCAGCTCACTCGTCCTGGACTCCTCTGCTCTCTTTGCAGCCAAGCACAAAGATTTCTTCAATAAGCCAGAAATTTCACTTGTGCTTGCACATGGAAAATCACGTTATTAAAGGGCTGCTTCTCTACAAATTGCTTTGAATTTCTTTGGTGCTGTCACAGAGTTTGGGCTGGGTTCTGCTTTTTTAATGCAGCTGGGGAGAAAAAAAAACAAAAAACAAAACTGCCTAAAGCTGAAACCCAAATCTTTCCTGGGGCCCGTCACCAAAAACATAAACCAACATTAATGAAGTAACTCATTCCTCTTCCCCAGACTCCTGCTTCAGGATTGCCTTGGCACACCCAGGTTTCTTTTTGTCCAAGTGAGGCATTTCTTTCCATTAGTAAAATCAGCTGAAAACTTTCCCGGGACAACACGCTCTTGTTAACAGGACAGGGCTCTTCAGGCCAAGGCTACCAGTGTGCTACTGGGAGTCTCAAGTGCTCTACAAGTGCTGCAGGCTCACGTATTTACCAAGGCAACTGCAGCCTCGGCTAAGCAGGGAAGCTGCTTCAGCGGGAGCTGCCTCTGTCCTGACAACACATTTGGTTTTTTTACTGAGAAACTACAGAAAGTTATTCCCCACATCCGTGAAAAGTGCTTAACCTGCTATGTCCCATTCACCTTCCCCAGGAACCACTTTCATTTTGCCACGAATGAAAAATCAGCACGTCCGTATAAATATACAGCCCAAATCTGCAGGGGCAGATAGCAGCCAGACATTGAAGGCAAGTCAAGGCAGTTGAGTTTGCTGTGAAAAAAACCTTTTCCTTACACTGAAAGCAGAAACATTTCAGCAGAAGTCCACAGCGTTCTCCAGTTTTAGCCAATTTTTAAAATTTTTGGCATGAAGGTGGCTGCCTGCAGAAAAGACTCCCGCTTAAGTTTCACTTGGTTAAAATCCCAGGTTTTAACCCAGTTATCAGCTTCTCACATTTGAAAAGGGAAGGTCTCAACCAAACCCCCCGTTCATGCAAATCCTAAGGAAAGACCGAGCTGACTGGGCAGGACTCAGCCTCCAGCCAACACACCAGCTTTGCTCCTCTACAAGCAACATTTTCACCTACACATTAATGACAACAGCTCAGGACTTTTCTGGTGTGTCCCCACAGACTGGTTTCACAAACCTTTTCAGGCAGCTATTATTCAATCTGAATTTTTCCAGCAGCACAGGGAAGTGCAGCGCTTTGGTGCAGGGATGTGGGATGCTCCTGCAGGTGCCTGACAGAGGTACAGGGCAAATGCTAAAACCTCCAGTTTTAGCTGAGGCTGTCGTGAGCAGCAGAGAAGAAACAGTAAATAGCACTTTCTATTCTGGGTTACAGAGCAGTTGGGGTAAACAGTATAAGTAAATCCAGCTTTATCTTTTCAGTCTAGTAAAAGAAAATAACAGGCAGTAAAGTACAATTTGTAACTGGCTCTGTGAAGGAAATAAAGGGCTGGCAAAGTATGTGGTTCTAAAAATATTCTAGGTGAGGGGAAAGGGTGCTGAGGGAAGTTAACAGGGGCAACAGCTTCTCAGGAAAGAGCAAACTTGAGCCGTGGAGAATGGCTTTGTTTCTGCACCAGTTCTGCAGGGATCATTTTCCTTGCTATCCCTGTTATAAGTTTGTACCACAAGGTCTCAAAAGAACAGCCTAAGGCTGCAACCCAAAACTATGTTATACCCTTCTATTTCCCTGAGCATTAATGGGGGTTCAGCCAGAGCCTTGTCCTCCTCATGAGATAGGTCACAGGTCTCAAAAAAAAAAAAAAGATTTTGTGTTCCTCAATCGTCCTCATTAAAACCTGCCTAACACAGGCTTAGCAAGTATGTTAATAAAGGCAAAATAAATTCGAGATGGAGTCTTCAATCAGAACCGTACACCAGCACAACTTCAGCTGCAAAGAAGAGACGCAGCAGACTCAGATCTCCTATCTGCTTCAAACACAACGTGCCCAACCATTCCTTTTGGCTGATCAGCTAGCGCAACCTGCTGATTTTCCAGCGATACTACACTGTAAGCAGTCTACATAAATCTTAATTAACCGTTGTGGCAAAATCCCTCTTATCTCAGCATCGTCAGGTGATCAGAAGCCTGAATAAATAGCAATGCGCAATTTGTTTTACGCTGTGCCAGCTTGGTTTCCATCGTGAAAGCCTGTGCTGCTAATTGCACAAGTAAACTCTTCGACAGGTAATTTTTAACACGTTTTTGGTTTATAACGATTAGTACAAAGAATAGTATTCAATTTTCAGAGAAACAGCTTTTAAGGTTTTTTTAATAAGATATTGTACACAGATCAGCTGGGAGATGAATGCTCGGCCTTGACTTGTTCCCACACTGAACAAGCCAGGCTAGCCAAGAAGTACAAAGCCAGTTGTTCTGTAAGATTTATCTAGAAGAGGATTTACCTTTTCAATTGTCTGCTAACAAGCCTGGCAAACCTACAGTTCTGATAGTGTAACATTACAAAGAAATAAGATGTGCAGCTCTCATTTATCCCATTCACTGGGGTGCAGCCCCACAGAGGTTGAGAAGAGGAAGGGCTTTATGAACCAATTCATCAGGTTTTGGATGTTGGTTGAATGCTACTGAGCTGAAGCGCGTGTAAAGGAAATGATGGAGAAACCAGCCCTTGCTGGTGGGCAACCAAAGGAGGATGGCAGCACGGCTGGAAGGGAACTGCAGGCCTTGCCTGGGGGGTTGGATTTGCTCTGGCTCAGGATTTGGCCCTGGCTTTTGCTGATGTTTCTGTTCAAAAGGTTCTACTACCACTACCAAGGTGTGTCTCAAGAGTTTTCTGGCATTTTCCTCCAAAAGCCTTATTCCATCATTTTACCATCTGACTTTTCTCATATAATGTTAAGATAATCAATACGTTAAGAGGGGCTAGTCTAACATTTTCAAGGTTTATAGACACATACATGGCAGGTACCACCTACCCAAAGCCCTGCTAACTGGTAGCGGGCACTCCTGAAACACTACATAACTTACACAGAGGAGTTGCAATATCTTTAGAAAGGCTGAACAGCAAAGTAGGGATTTCTCCTGGGCAGCACCAGGCTTAACTCACTCCCTGCCTGTTGATACCAGCCCAAACACTCGCCTATGCCCAATGCACTCTCGTTCAGTCCATAAGTCCACCTTGAAGGGACTTACACAGCCAGAGAAGTGACTTCTGATGTAAAACGGGCAAAACGGGGAACTTGCACCGTTCATGCAAGAGAAAGAAGTCAGCATTTCCCAAGCCAGCCCACCTCCTCTCCATCCCCTTGCCCGCTCCCCGCCGCAGGGAAGGAAATGCTGCAACGGCAGCTCCTGGGGGCTGTGCAACACCGGCCCGTTGTTCCAGATCCTCCTGTTCGTGTGTGCTAAGCGGCCAGTTCATGCCTTGCACAACTGCACCTACCAACTGTTCTACTAACATCTCCGTTGCCCAACGCAGGAATCCCACCAACTTTGGTTCAGAGCTTCCTCGTGCCCAAGGGGAAAGATCTGCACCTTAGAGCTCACCCAGGACAGACGGGGAACGCACTGAGAAATCTCAACTGCAGTATCATGCACTTGAAAACTGTTGTATTAAGAATACCAGAAGTGCATTAGATATATTATTGCAGCAAATGACATTTTGACATGTTTTAGAAAGAACAGAGCAAGATACAATGCTGTTAAAATCTCTCGTGGAGAAACTATTAAAAAAAAGACGTACACAGCTACGAGAAATTTGGAGCCAGCTCTGTAACACAAATGAGATGGAAAAAGTTGTAAAGAGCAGGTAGCTTAGAGCCATTTTACAAAGCACCAGACTGCAAAAGAGGACTCAGAGGAAAGCTTCTACAGTGCACCTATAACACAGTTGTACTTCTCTCCTCATGCCTACCGGCTTGGCTGGCTTTACACCCAGCCTTTCCTTCATAAGACTTTGTAAAGTAGATTGAGGGGCTGCAATTCCTTCCTTGTAAAAGTGAGGAGCATGTGAGTTCACTGAAGTCTATAAAAACCATTAGTTTTTCAAGGCAGGTCTGCCCTAGGTAAAATTTATATAATGAGATATTTAAAACTCTACTAGTGCAAACCAGCACTCAGAAATAAATCAGAAATAAAATCTAGTTGAGAGAGATCATTATTGCAGAAACCCCTCTGGAGACTCCTCGACTGGGAATGGCTAGGCCCCACCCAAATAAAATCTTTATTTTTTAGGTGGCTTTGTTTCCAGCAGGGGAAAAAGCTTACGGCAACTAGTACCAAGCTAGCCAAGCTCAGAAATACTTTACTACCTCTATGCAATGAAATCTTCACTGAAAGATGCCACCCATAGCACCTCCCTGGCTGATTCTCTCTGCTATGGAGAGCTGAGGGGGTTTGCAGAGAGCTTGTGCCAAATGAAGCTGAACAAGCTTGGAAAGCTGGAAGGATCATTACACAAGCTCTCCCAGCTCGTAGCAACAAAGGCTGCTTTTGGCAAGGGTCACAGAAACCCACACACCCCACCTTTCACTTCAGGGGTAAGCAGCATCCCCAAACCCTGAATATCCACTGAGGAGCTCTTACCAGCACCTTGTGTCATTTGTAAGCCTTGACTCCATTATACTGAACAACTTACAACAAAAAGTCCCATAAAAACTAGACTGAGGGGACATAATGTTTATATAAATATTTGTTTGGTGGCTACAAGCGTGAAAACCAGCAGTTCTTTCTGGCAGCATGGTGGGAAGCAGCAGCAAGGGTAAAAATCAGCAAAGTTACTTATAATAACCCCAGGGAGGCCTAAAAGATCATTTGGGGGTTAAGTAGTGGCTGTAAAAAAAGCTTGGAACCACAAGCAAAAAATGTGTCTGCAGCTGCTTGTTCCACAGAGATTTTCCAAAAACACAATGTACAAATGCTTTTTTTTTTTAAAAAAGTAGAAGTGAGGCAGAGACATCTGCTTCTCCTCTGAATAAAACCTGCAGGAATTCCAGAGGTTTCTGTAACTTGGAATATCAGATAAGTTATGTGAAAGCACCATGACTCATTTTAATTTCGTATTATCCGTAAAGAAAATCTAATGCTTTTCTGAAAGTAGTGCAGAAAAATCACACTGAAGGATTAAACAGACACTAAGGACCCTGCTTAATAGTACACTAGCTGAAATCAGGCAGATACTAAATGAATCATTTTAAAACCTAGAATGTCTTAACTCCATGTTGGTTATGTCACGCAGCTTGGGTTTGCAGCTGCTTGTTTCAGAGCTTGAAGATGTTTTAGTAAGAATTTAGGTATTAAAACCTAGGGTTTCAGTGGAAAGACTTCATGGATTTAAGCCCAGCCTAAGTGATAATTTCAGCTGAACAATAATTAAAAAATAAAAGGCATGTTTCCATGCAAAAGCATCTGTATTTCTTTGCCTAAGTGTATAGTCGTGGTACACTAAACTTTGCACTTCATGCGTTCTCTGTCCCTCTGTTAGGAAGCACTGATGGGCACATACACCTGGGAGGAGGCACTGGAATGAGCAGTAAAGGACAAACTGGTTACATCCACAGTGGAGTTTTGACCATCTTTTCCCTTCAACTCGACCCTCTGGACCATGTTCTTGGTTCCTACCATTTTTGGCCTAGGTGTGCCCTTGCTTCAGGAGGGGGGAAAAAAAATATATATATATATTAAGAAACAGTTCAACCAGAGCTTCCTGAATTGTGGGATTATTCGTTTCCATCTGTTACTGTGTGCTAAGAGACCAATTATTCTATCCCTCTTTCCCAACCAGCTCTAACAACTGTTAAGAGTTTCTAGACATCCTCGGTGCCTAATATGGCAACACCATCTGCCCGGAGCTGTAATACTTTGCTCAAGACTGATTGGCCAAGACTTGGACTTTCAAAAACACATAAATACCCCAGGCAGCTACTGCTCAACGTCTTTGATTCGATCAAAGAACACCGGTGAAACTGCCACAAAATGACAGCTCTGAGGCTGATCGCCCTGGTCAGCTTGGTGTCCACTGGTGAGTTGAGATTGCTATATAGTAGTTGTCTTGGCTGGTTTTAGGCAGAGACTAAGGAATTATTGAAACTCAAACATAAATAATGTTACATTTTTTCAATCTAGTTTTATGAGGAATTATGGTAACATGCAGCATTATGACATAAAATACTGAATTAGGTGTGCATTTAGTCTTATACTGAAGTGTTTAGAGGTTTCATATAGTGAAAATAGCTTTGACTTGTTTCACAAACTAATATTATTTATCTGCAGCTTTGCTTTTAGTGTGGGTACCTTAAAATAAGACCTCAAGAAAAAGGAAGCAAATCTATATAGCGGGTTGTTCAATGTTCTTCTACCTACAGTTTCTAAAATTAACTCCCATGAGCTCACGTCTTCCACTTGAAACAGCCTATTTTGCACCTTAACGCTTTCTGTTGTACCATATTAAGAACGTGGTTGAATTTTCCCTGTTTTTGCCTTTTGCATGTGAAGTTTTTGCCAACCAGTTGGACACACACCCGCCCCAACAACAACACAGACACTGGGCAGCTATCTGCGCGGGAAATCCCACCAACAGAATCCGGGGCTGCGATAAATACGGCTGCGGCCAATTCGGCGCCGACAGGTAACGCAGTGGGACAGCGGGAGTCTGGAGCAGTGGGGTTTGCTGTTGCTTTCCTAAATGAGATGTTCACACAGGAGAAAGAGTAGAGTTTAACCAGAGCCGAGACTTAGAATGAGAGAAGATGGTTGTCTGTGGGAAACTCTTACCCATTTTGGGGACGTTACTTGAACCTCACAAAAGTGCAGTAATGCCGTAATACCACTGCTAATAACTGATGCACGGGGGAAGAAGTGAGACCATTACATGAATTAGCAGCCAGAGGAAAGGAAAGGGAAAGTATTTCAAGGATTTTTCATTTATTCCTATTGCTTATAGACAAGATATTTAGCTAAAATTCACCAGCAGCTCACAGGAAGCTAAGCAGATCAATTTACATGAACTAAAGGTCTGCCAGCATCGTTATCTTTAAGTAGGCTCCTCATAACAGAGCAGGTTGTATTTCCCCCCAAAATGCTTTTACTCCTGCCCTCCCTGCATTTTCCTGTCATCTCCTCTCCCCAGGAGCTATAAGAAGTGTCCATCCTCATCATGCAACTTCTGAATTTCTAAATTAAAAAGTGCCAAATATAAGATTCTCTTTTACACCAGCAGAGAGGTATTTGGGTTTAAACAGGGGTACTTTTCTGTAACAGCTTGAAATACGCCATGAACTTGGGAAAATTAAAGATACACTTTAAATTTGAAATCTCATTCCCCTTTAAAAAAGGTCAGAGTAATACAAACAGTTTGCAATCAAAAAAGATGGATCAAAGCCGCTATTTCTTTCCAATTTCATTGTAGATGCAAAAACGTTGTGAGACGAGCTGCAGGTATCATACTGTGTTAACTGATCTATCTACACATAATGTTAAGCCTGACAGAGTTCTCTAATTACACATTTATGTTTTCAGGCACAGCGGTAAGGAAAGGCATATGGGTGTGGATGTCATCTGTGCTGACGGAGCGACAGTGTACGCTCCTTTCAGTGGCCAGCTCTCCGGACCCATTCGATTCTTTCATAATGGAAATGCCATCGACGATGGAGTGCAAATCAGGGGATCAGGCAAGTAATAACAGCAGAAACGTGTGAGGCCTGCACATGCAATCACTTTACCTGAGTAAGGTTTCTGTGGCTCCAATTCAAGCAGTGTTGATTACACACTGTATAGTTGCTACACTGAAGCATATAACTAGTCCTTTTCCTATGCTTTCCTTGGAGAGGAGGGAAGAAGGGAGTTGAAAAACAGGTAGCAGAAAAATAACCACCCTAAATTAAAAAAAACCCCAACAAACAGTAAAAATAATGTGTGAGAAATATGCCCTCAATTTTGCTAAAATGATGTTTTCCTGTCTCTTTTTATCAATTCCCTCTTTTCCTGTTTTCCATAGTAATCCACGTAATTTTGATTTAAGGATTGTTGGTACCTTGACTACATTTTTGCTTCATCATTACAGTCTCCAGTAAAAGGCTAGTACAGACTTTTTCTTGCTCACCCAAGACCAGGGGCAGCTGATGTTTCCTGACCCCGCTTCCTCTCCCCTCTCTCCCAGGTTACTGTGTGAAGCTCGTCTGTATTCACCCCATCCGGTACCAGGGCCATATCCAGAGAGGGCAACGCCTCGGGAAAATGCTGCCCATGCAAAGAGTATTTCCTGGCATTGTCTCTCACATCCATGTGGAGAACTGCGACCACTCTGATCCCACTGATCTACTTACACCTGGTAAAACACACACACATCCCCCAAGTAGTATAATGAATGGAAATTCATTAATTTCAAATAAGGACAACAGTATCAAATAGCAATAGCCCGTAGGTTCTCCTTGACAGCAACAGCTGAAAGAAAGAAAACACACGTTATAAACACAGCGCAACAGGACTGCAGTCAGTGTTAAAGGACAATATATCAGCTTATCAAGTTGTGTTTCTTGCCCCCCTAAGACACAGCAGCAAGTCTCAGCAGTAAAACAAGTCAGGCAGCTCTTTTGTTTGTACCCTGTCAATTATGAGCAATGTTTTCAGTAACATATTTTAGCAGACTTTGGGATGATTCTTTGCAAATCAAATATTACATTGGTAGTAATGGAGAAGACGACTTGAGGAGTCCAGTCCCATCAGCCTGGGCATGGAATAAGAAACTAAATTGAGTCTTTTCCTATCCCTCAGTAGACTCTAGGAACCGTGACACTCTGAATTTTTTGTCTTTACAGCGTGTTTCCTATACAAGATAATCCTAATCTAGGAACACTACAATCCAGTTTTAAGTATACATTCTATTTACGTTAATGTTATTTCCTGAAGGGTGACAAATTTTGTCGAGGAGACATCCAACTATATGCGTTGGGTGTAATTCCAGTATGTTCCTACCTAACTAAAATTAAAACACAGTAGTTACAAACATGCAATATTTAGAACCTAAAGGTAACTTTGATGTGCTGTGTTTCTCTATTTCCAAGTTGTTCCACCATTCCCACAACAAGACAGACGCTGGGCAACAGTGTGCGCTGGGAATCCTACAAATGAGATAAGAGGCTGTGACAGATACGGCTGTGGATACTACGGAGCTCCAAGGTAGTGTAAGTGGAACACATGGCGATGTGTTGCTGCTCCACTGCAACAGAGTTGAACTCTGTTTAAGCCATTTCAGAATTACAGCTTAGAAGGTTTAGGCTGGACATGAGGCAATGCTTTCACTACAAGGGGTAATGCAGCATCAGGCTGCCCACATTGTTCAATAAAACCTTCGTGCTTGGGGGTTTTTACAACTCAGACTAAGCCAGACCTGACCTGGTGTTGGGAAGAGTCTTCACTCAAGTGGAAGGTTAGACTTGATGTCTTCCACAGGTACCTGACAACCAACATTTCTGTGACTCTAGAGATTTATTTAAAGGCGTGAAAGAAAGGCTTTTCTTTTTTTCCTCCAGTTCACAAAACCCCAACCCTAACTGTACACGGCATTACATCTACACCAAAAAGCTTTTATAGATTCTTCAGCCAGTCAACTATGTCAACACTGTCTCACTACAAACAACCCATTTCCAGACCTTGAAGCATACTAACTCATCTATCTCTGTAGGTTAGGCCTGACATGAGACTTCTCTATTTACACGTTTGTTTTCAGATCCAATGGTAAAGGAAAGCACAGAGGTGTGGATGTCATCTGTGCTGATGGAGCAACCGTTTATGCTCCCTTTTCTGGCACACTCTCTGGACCCATTAAATTCTTCCACAATGGAAACGCCATCGATGATGGAGTCCAAATCCATGGAGCAGGTAAATAGCTATTTTTCATTTGTCTTGAGGTCATACAAGATGTATTACCTTGCCGCTAGCCAAGCGGTTAAACAAGGTACATGTTTTGAAACACTGCATCTTCTATCCACTTACATGCAGAACTTTTTGCTCTTAAAATGCAAATAACTGAGTTCTGTAGGATGTCTTATCTTTACCACAGCAGGAATTCCTACCTTCTCCCTGCCTCCCATCTTCCCTCCTCCACCAAGCCAACTCTAACCACTGTCTCTATTTGTTATGACCACTGTTATTCCTTATTCGGTATTTCCACCATTGCTATCTCAGTGGAAAAGACAAGAGAGAAAACGTGAGTATTTCTGAAAGAGAATTAGTACATGTTTTCCCTCCTCTTGTTTTCACCAGAATTCTGCGTAAAACTGGTCTGCATCCACCCGATCAAATACAGCGGAACAATTTCCAAGGGACAAGTCCTTGGGAAGATGTTGCCAATGCAAAGAGTATTTCCTGGGATCACATCTCATATTCATGTTGAGAACTGCGATCACTCAGATCCTACCAGCAATCTTGAAAGGGGGAAAGGGCAAAGAGTGTGAAATGGAAATGTGGTAAATTCCAAATAAATTCATCTCAGCATCCAAAAGTTGTTGTTGTTTTTTTTTCTCATGAACAGTAACAGATTATAGTACTACTGATTCAATATTTTGAGCCTTAATATTATTACAAGGTGCTAATATTAATATACTTTCCAGGTACAGATTAGGTACAGTTTAAGTACCTATAGTTGTTGTCAACATTGTACTTTAGGCTAATTGAAGAACTTTACATGGCAAACAAGATTACTTTAGATTTTGAAGGCACCTGAAGTGAGGAAAACTAGAAAGAAATTTATTGAAACACTTCCCGAGGCATAAAAGATGCTGTTTGGAGTTGTCATGCCAGAACAACCAGTGTCTCCTTTGCATGACAATAGGGACTCCAGACAAGGAAAAAAGATTCAAGTTTTTGTTGGAATTTGCATGTACAAGAGAACTGGGAAATTAGGAACAGCTAATTACAAGCTTTCTCAGAGTCTGAAAAATCAGTGAGCATGGACACTAGCTCACCCCCTCACGTGGCAGAAAGGGTGCATTACTGTTAGCTTCTCACTAACGTGGACTTTTTAGTGACCCTACAAACCTCTTTAGTGTGTCCGGTCTAAATTCTGTACTTTATTTTGAGGGTTTTAGTTACGATAACAAACTGTATTATTGCCTTATACACTTTAGAGATGGGGTTTTAGAAAACCTTTGCAGGGCAGCAAAACTAGGAAAAAACAGTAAAATACACAAAAGTTGCCTTAGCTAGGACCAAGGCAGAGCTCTGAAGGAGAAGCTACTCAAGGGATAGGAGGAAGTACAGGCAGCAGGCAGCTGCCTACACATTCCTGCCAAGTGCGATAGCTCCACTGCAGTGATTCAGGAAAAGAAGGAAAAGAACTGATGCTGCTTTACTCAGGGCGTTGTTTTGGACATTCCTCCCCAAAGCACAATGCATGTACATAGCATCAAACACATGACACTGAACAAATCTGACACTAAAACTACAAAATTCAACATTAACCTAATGTCAGAAGTCAGGTTTCAATTCAAATTAGCTCCTCACTCTACCAGTGAAGAATCAGTACTTCGCATTGAGACTGATGTATCAATTTTGTTGACGTTTAGTTATAAACTCAAGTATCAATAGGTCCTACTTGTTAAGATCAGTTAGCAGAGTGAACGCACAAAAAAAAATAAATTCTAGAAGCTTGGAGCTGCAGCAAGCTAACACTTATGGCTTGATGGAAAAGCTCCTTTAGTAAGAGGGACAGAGAAAGGGACAATATTCAAAACATTTTCAGAGTTTCCGTACACACCCACCAAAGTCTGATACTTCATTAATGCTGCTGCATCAGCCAGAGAGACAGGAAAGGATGCTGGGACTTGCCCACCACCTACAAGATGTGTCCACATGCCATTTTACAGTTTCAGCATGTCAAAAATTCCCAGGTTTGAGGCACAAACATGAGATGACAATGACTAATTTGCTGTCATCCAAGAGTTAAACATTCCCCCTGCCTCTCCCCAGGTTTGTCAAGGATATGGTTTCTGACAGGAAAGACCTCTGCCTAACAGGACGCGGTGCAACAGACGGATAAGAACCTAGTATGAGTGCACATATTAAATCACTTTATTACTTTTACATTTAAAGCAAACCACACATCTTAAACCAAGTACTGCTTAGAAACATTTCAGTCTTTTGTTGAAAAGACAATTATAATCCTCTTGATTACAGAAGCAAGCGCTTGGGTGAACAGTGCTAGTAACCAGAGTCAGATGCTCCTTAACTAACCAACCCATCACTGACTGAGACAGGCTTTATATGTTACCTTAAATCCTTCAACTTGCAACGGGGAACAAGTCTGTCCAAAACAACAGTGGCTTAACCCCTTAGATGTTATTATTTTTACAGTAAAGAAGGAAGAAACTGACATTTATCCGATGTGACAAATACCACTAACAAATCAAATGTAGACTCATAAATAAGAAAACAATCACAGCATGAAAATAATTACAGCAAAATTTGTATACAATGCTTTTCCGTTTACAGTGTGCAAAATGTCAACACAAAAATACATAATCTAATTCACATCAATTCACATTCCTTTCCCCTTTAAAAGAAAATAAAATAAAAAACTTATCTCCTTCCTCAAAACCCAATTCATAGCTACAAGTATTAAACAGTCCTGAATTAAAAATTTCAGGATCATCTCTAACAACCCTTACTCTAGAAATCGGGGCTTACAGCACAGCTCTGCAAGATACAGGCAAGATTTTTACAGGCCATTTTGGCCTCTAACAGGCAAATAATTTAAGTGCTCTAAATCCTTGATTATAGAGAGAAAGTGATCAAAGACAACTGCATTCATTTGATCCATCCTTCTCACTAACCACTGAGGAGATCCTTCTTATCTCTTAATAACGAAAGCATGGAACAGCATTCAGATATCACTCTTTGATTACAGACTTGAACTCTCCCAAATCCAGAAGCTATTCCTTCTAGCAATTTCCAAAGTGTTTTGTCATTCACCCAAGAAATCAATCTACATACAAACCTTCAAATACATTAATTTCAGTAAGGTCTCTTTCCCACCCACTTAATGTATAAAACAGAAATACAACATACTGTGTAACACAGTCTCTACAGTTTACCTAATGTGACAAAATTACTTAAAGTGCAATTTAAAACTGGAAAGGGGTTTTTTGAACGCATAAGCTTATTTATCACAACATTAATATACTGGCATGAGGTTAAGATAAGATTATATTTGAGTAACCTGGGCCAGTGCAAGTATTTTAATATACAAGCTTTTACAACATGTTTTGAAAAAAATAGCTGTGTAAAACATCACAACAAATAATACTGAACTCCAAGTTGTATCCAACTTTGCACAGATTTGCTAAAGAAAAGTATGTTTCTCTAGTCCTCTTCTGACTACATCAGAAAGACTAAACAGACATGAAAAAAACCCAAAAAAACTTTGACGTGAACGAACATTTAAACTGAAGCTCAGTGAAGCCAAAGTTCACTGAAGTTTGAAGCACCTGTAAGCCACAGACAGACTTTCAGAAGTGTTAAGTACACTTAATCTATTTTCTATTTCAATATACCGCTGACGTTCTAGAATGTTTTGCTGTTACACTACTAGAGGTTCTTAAGGTAGAAAAACTCAAATCCGGAAATAAGTTTTCACATTCCATTTTTAAACTCTTTATTTGCATAGAAAGCAATACCCTGATTCTACCATTTTACCCACAAACGTAGAGAATTTACCATGTTGGCATCATATCAGGAAACCACATTCTTCCAAGGTGTTTGGAGACTTCCAAATGAAGTCGATCTAAGCTATAATCATTATCAGGAATCAGCACCTCCTCCATTATAGAAAGCTGGGTAAGCCTGCCCCCACACATCTTTACAAATTCGATAAAACCTCTGCAAGTTACTTCACATTCACCAAGTCCCATTGCTGTTAAGTTCTTACAGCGCTCAGCAATCCGAATCAGTTCGTCATCCAAAGGTTGAAGCCCATTAGCACACACAACCAACTCAATTAACCTCGGGCAATTCATGCCAATACGACCCAACATTGCTTTGCTTACTGCACGACCGAAGTAAAGGTGGGTAACAGGGGTTTCCTCTCTGAAGAAAGTATCGAATTCTTCTTCATATAAAAAGAAATACATCACAATGTTGACTTTGGGGGAGTGTTTAACAAGAGCATCCCAACTTTGTTTTTTAATAGTGTGAAATTCAACTTGTCCGGGATTTTCACTCACAATGTCTATGCGAAGGTGTTCAAGATCAACATGTTTTTCACTTGAAAGAGCCAGAAGCAGTTCATCACTTAATATGTAGTAGTTCAAAGCCAGCTCCTTAAGTCCATGACACTGGTCAGCAACACAAAGAATTCCTGAGGAGAATTTGTAAATTCATGTAAAATGAAAATATAAGCACGGTTGTTTGCTGTAAAGCTCAAGCAAGTACTCATTCTGTTGGCTCAAGTATTCATGTCTACATCCAAAACCCATGAAATACCATAAAGTTCTAGATATCCACTTCCTTTTACAGGGTTCTGGCCCAAACCACTTAGCAGTAAAAGAAGCAAGTCTAACTACTCACATTCATCTTGCATCTGTGTATCTTTCTTCCTCTTTGCCCTTCCCTGTGCAGAATTTCCTCAACTTTGAGGAAGTTGAGGAAGCAACTGAAATGCAACATTCAGCTGAAGTTCCCACTGTTCCCTTCCCTAACCTTCCTTCAGCATTCACCTAAGCATTCTGTTTAAACAATCACTAGCAACCTAGTTTAACAGACCCTTCCCTGAATTAAGACATAAACAGCATTAACTGCTCTTAATCTGTCGGAATACAAAGTACACAGATTCAATTACCTTTTGTGGACTCTGGAAAAGAAAATACGAAAGAGACTAAACCAGGATTCCCCTTCCCTGTCACCAAGGTTTCACATGAAAGTGAGAAAGGACCCAAAAGCCCTCTGAACTTTCCAACGAGCCTTGTATTTTGATGGGAGTGAGCCCTTCACCAACCAACAGTAAAATGAGCAAATTCGTGCTACCAGATCTGGACACACGAGGGCACTACAGAAATTTAAAGACTCTCCATCTTAAACTCCTAGTTTCTGAAATCCGTACACACTCCATGGGTTTTGTTAATGTAACTTCAAAGCGTTAACACTTTTGCTCGGTAAATTAAACTTACAGCACCTTGTGTAAGTTACTGGCAACTGCTTCATCTTCTTTAACCCACCAACCAGTAGCTGATTCAGAGGCTGGGGATTTTGCATGTGTGTTCCCCCAGAACACCAGGTTGCTAAGTTTTACAAAGCTGCAGACATTAAGCAACACACATTCAATTACCCTTACACAGAGCTAACACTGAACATCAAGTCCTTTGAATATGTGTTAAAAGCTTGCACTAATGTTGGAGGCTTTTCCTCCTCAAGGCTTATTATCAGAAGTACTGAAGCAGCTGAGAAGGTAGAAAAAAAAAATCCCCGGGATTCTAGAAGATGCAGTCAGGCAAGGAGCACCTCCACCTTCACTAATCCAATCATTCAGTAACACAAAGACATTATTCTCCTTCCCCTTCCAACTGTCCAAAGCCACAACTAGGACAATAAAAGGCCTCTGGCTAAGACACTCAGAAGAGCACTAGAAGTTTTATGAGTAACTTGTTTCAAACTAAATCTTGACTATTGTTTTATGATAGTTTGCTGCTACATTTTTCATATATATTCACTACTCACCAGCAGGTGATACATGAGGACAGCTGCTCATTTTTAACAGCTTTAGAGTATCACTATTGTTAGCAACAAGAACCTTCAAGGAAGGATCATCAAGTGGTGTGTCATCTATCTTGATTGATGATAATGACTTGGAGTTCACAAAAACTACTGTCAGTGCTGAAGCAAAGTGAGCCTGTTTGGAGAAATTGAAGGAGGGGAAAAAAATATCTTACGAAAAAACAGACAGAACTTCAGCATCTAAACCTCAGGTTTCACATGCACAGAAGCATGAATGTAACTTCTTAGGCATCCCCTTTCTTGTGTAACAAAGAAAGGCTTATTTGAATGTGAAAATAGGTAATCTCCTTAAAAATATGCTGCTGCATGTGATAAAAATTATCTTTACACTCAGTAGTTAACTCATCCACTCTGATTTACCCTTTCACTGTAATAAAACAGGGGCAGGCAGACATAGAGATGAGTCTGAAGTATCTAGAATTTATCCGCAGAAAAAAAGGAAATGGCATTTGTTTTAGTTTCCAGAAAGTAATCAAAGAAAAAAAATTCCCCAAATATTTTAACAATACATTACATCGTATCTTTTACTCTAGAAATGAGGAAACTCGAGCCTTCTAAGTTATTCTCCACCACTATGCCACGAAGTATGAACACTACTAAATTTAATAAATGGAGTCAGCGTTTAACTATTTCTCTAATACTAACGGATGTCACAAATTAAGGAAGATATGCCAATAAACACAGATTGTTTCATAAAAATTACCATTAACTGAATAGCAGCACAGTAAGGAAGATGAAGTGGTTTAAGAGTGAATTAAGTCACTCTAATTATAGTTTGTAGAACATTACCTTAGAGACATTCATGAAGCTTGGTTTTGCAGTAGAAATCAAGCCCAGTGTCTTGATAGAACAGTTCACCAACTGAGAAAGGATGTCACAGGCTGCTTCAGCTGACTCAGTACTGCTATCAACCTATAAAAGCCATTTAAAAACAATGAAGTCATTCTTTATTACGACAACAGCATCATGGAAACCCAAGACTGCAAGCTCCACACCTACTGAGTTGTACTGCACCAGACTGCATTTACCACAAGGACAAAGTGCAACATTAATTAGAAATTTCAAGACAAGAAAATGTTCAGGAGAGTTACTATTAGAAAATTTTCCCAAATATGACTGCTGGGTATTTCTAGTATGAACAGAGAGCTTAAATTTAAGCTTTCTCTTCAAATAACCTCATGCCTTCCCAAACAACTGTAATTAGTATTGGTGTTATGACAGACCAGATTGGTGTTAGGTATGACAGACTAGCATTATGTATGCATTCTTTTTTAAAATGCCAATTCTAGACTCTTAAAGTCAAAAAGACTTGACAAAGCCTAGATATACTCCAGCAAGCTAATCCATTTACCTGCAGGGACAACACCTTTGCATCTGGATTAATGAACTGATTCTCAATTCATCTATAAGCCTGATGACTAACTTTGGACAAATCACTATTTCATCTCACCTTCCTCCTCTGTAGTAGCTGAGATGATAAAAGAGTAGCTGAAAAAGCATAAAAGTCACATTAAGACATTATAATGCCAATTCATTACAACTGGTTGTAAGAAGTGCAGAAGTTACAGGTGTTGAATAACTGATTATCCATGAACTGCTGTGCAACCAAATCATAATGTCTCCGAACGTAAAACTGCTACCAGTGTCGAGGAAAAAAAGCTTCTGGTGTTGATCCTAGCTTTAGTATCAATCCTTTTTCCTGCTTTTCCTTCACAGCTTAGAACTATGACATCTTCTGAGAAGTGACTGCAAAAAAGCGAACAAAGCACCCATAACTCCAAATACGGTCCTCTTGGATAAACAGAGTAAACTGTATCAAGTATTCAAGTGAAAGAAGTCCATGTTAATGCAATCCTGACTACAATCACAGCCTTTATTTAACTCAAGTTCACTGCTACTTAATTATGCCCTTATCTGTCAATCACCTGACTATATGGGCACAGCATTTTTCTCCCTTACTCCCACTTTTTCAAAGCATGGTTCTAAAATTTCAAGGCATTCTTCACTGTAGAGCCTTATTTTGTAAATAAATTCTACACACAAATTTATTTCCTCAAATGCTTCCACGTGTAAGAAATATCTGCACAATAATCCGCTGAGGACTCAGATTGACAGCGATTCACAGAAACTATGTATTCTGTATATCCTGAAAACGTATCATTCAGTCTTCAGCACTGTATTGCATGACATTAGCACTTTCTTTACTTTGTAGAGTTTAAGAGGGTAGAAAATTGAGGGAAACTGCATGAATGTGTGGAAATAAATTGTTGCAGTAGCTGCATTTTTAAACATAAGGCTTCTGAGGTACAACACTTGAGCCAAGAGACAGAGAACCACAGACATTACACACATGAAGGCGACAGAACAAGGCTCCATTCAGCCCAGACTTACCTTGAAGCTGACGTACTGCAGATGATCAGCATGCCTCTTGATAATCTGCTGAATGAGATCAGGATGCGTAGACTTTAAGTAAGAAGTAGCTGGCTGGCTAAGTTCAAATTCAAATCTCCTCCAGAGATCTGGGATGTGAAAAATTTCATTCCACCTTCGACAAACAGAAGATGCCCTGGCTCGATCTACTAAAGACAGAAACTGAAAAATACGCAGAATAACATGGTGTGGAAGGCTTCCCCAGTCCATTGAGGCATGCAAGTCAGATTCAGCAAACACTGAGCCATATAAACAAGTTTTCTGTTTTTTGCTTTTCTGTGATGTTCGAGGAGCTTCATTTTCAACCACAACTTTCTGCCCAGCTCTCTTCATTGTGAAAGTTTTAGGTACTGGAACGATCCAACGTATTCAAACTGTTGTGCAGTTTCCTGAAAAGTCTCACATGCAGTAGGTCTATAGAAAAATACAGAGGATTAGGGGGGGAAGAGAGACAAGGCAGTGGAAACACAGTAAGAGATAATAAAGTTAGTAAAATTTAAATACAGCACATTACTATGATAAAAGGTATGTCCGTATGTCGATATCCAGTGCACGGACTTAAACAAGGACCTTCTTTCTTGATGCTTCTATTTTGTACAATTTGAATCTGGAGAACTTGGGTTTGTTAATTTACCAAGTGTAGCTTCATGTGTTAATACTTCATAGTATATAAAGCACTTTGTAGAAGAAAAAAAAATATTTAACAGCAATTTAGTTCAGCAGTAGCAAATTGTGTACGTTTAAATTTAAACTCAGAAAACTACTGAATCTACGTGTGATTTCTAGAAGAATTTTATCAACTACAGAACCCAATTTATAAACTCCCTTTTTAAACACTAACAAACTTGGAACAGACTTGTTCAGATGAATCAGATTCAAAAGCTTTGCCTGCCTCCCCCACTGCTTTGCTTTGTTGGGTTTTTTTGTTTTCATTTGGTTTTTTAAATCATGCCAGGCAGAGGAAAAACATTGGTGCAACTAACAACAAAAAACTTCAGAGGCCACTTATCAAAACAGGGCAAAGTAAGTAAGGTTCACATGCTGGTTTTCAGCAGAAAAGGCCAGTGACCCTGGAATACAGCAAACTGCACCAATCTCCTTCACTAAGGAACATTTGCCACATGAGCCAGAGTTCAGAAAAGAGCAGCGTAAGGAAAAGCCCTGCTTTCACATGCTGAAACAGTGCAATCTACTGAAGTCCATTCCAGACTGAATTCTGTTGTTCAGTCAGTTCTCAACAATGACCTCAACTGTTTCAAATACCACTTCATTTTACAGTGGGCTGAGGCCCCTTCTCAAATGTCCTACTCGTTAGATGTTCAGCCAAATCTTATCTCTTCCTAACCAGTCTGAAGCTACAATTTTCAAAGCAACCATGCATTCTTCAAGAACAAACAGAACACGGTATCTGCTTTTACTGAACACGTTATCTGCTTTTACTGAACAATCTTCCACAGCAGCCCCCAGAGTATGCTGCTTCTGGACTGAAAATTTTCCATAGTATATTCATCGCAGAGAGACCAAAATTCAGAAAGAGCTGCCAAAATTCAGACTATCCTATCAAAAACTCATCTGGCATTTTCCCCAACTTAAAAAAACCTGACCTGTATGGCTAATGAGGTGTCTGATACGCAAGTGTAACTCCATTTTCATGAAAAGAAAGCATGAGGATTCTTTGAGAAGTGGGAAAGAACAACCTAGTCAATTAATCATGAGCTGTTTGTATGATCAGCTTCACTACTGTTTGTCCTCCTGACAAATGGTCTCAACAACCAAGGAATTTAGTCTAGTAGTCTTCAGAAATCTTCAGTCTTTTTAAAGTTCCATTTATGATAGTGATCGGTGATATATGCAGGAGCATAAGCTAGTAACACTCTTTATGTTTAATAACAGAAGTTTTTCTTCCCTGAATAAACACGTGCCTTGCATTAACAAGCAAAAGCAGCAAGTCAAAGAGAACAAAGTACAATATGCTCCAAAACAAAGCAGTATCTCTAAACAACACATTAGTGTTACTAATGTAATGAAGATGCAAGCTCAGCATGAATAAGCGTTTTGCTCCTAGGCCATTTTATCAAATTATCATCCACACAACCATGTTTTGCAACTTTTGAGTGCTTTAAATCACACAATGAATGGGCATTCCAAAGGATTATTTGTGGATGTAGTAATTAACCATTACATAACTCTCTCTTCCATTTGCTCATGGCCTTGCTAAATTTAGCAAAGGCTAAATACCTTTTGGGTCAAATGACTTCCCTCCTTGGGAAGAATTACAAATTCAACCGTTTCCTAAAACCAAAATCCAGATAGAAAAATGATATTGAACAAATGCTGTTGTCTGAGAAGCTTCTCTATGCTTTTGCTATTCTCATGCAAATCTGCAACATCTTGGTAAAATGTATGTTTTCTGAATAAAATTTTCACTTTCTTATTTGAAACTTATTTAAGCTTCATGGGTGCTGTCCTGGTTCCCACAAAGCTTTGGCATCTGAGAACTACTGATAAGGGCATTCCCTTCAACAACAGGGCAGGCTGTAGACCAGACACAGAGTATCCATCCAATCCAGAGGCACGAAGAGATGGGGACAGGGCACACATAGCGTACGCAGGATCAGCTCTCGCTGGTTGGAACATGGCTGTAACTTCGTCTTGTTGCTACATCCCTGTAGAGCTGATAACTCTAGAACTCCTATTTTTTGTATTCTATATTGCAGGACTTTAGCAAAATTACATTAAATTACTCACTGTGGCACACAAAGCCAAAAAAAGGTTCCATGTCATCAAGTTTTTACCAAACATGAAGCCCTAATATTTACTGTGAAAATGTGAATACTTTAACTATGACCAGTCTCTATTTTAAGACACAACTGAAGTTAACTAAATTATAGTGCTATGTGATACAATCCAGGTAATATTCAATGACAGGTTTACATGCACACATACCTCCAAAGAATGTGGAAAGTCCTGTCAAGTTACCAGCACCTTTCTGGTATCGGAACATCCATCCCACTGTTGAGTCATCCTGTATGTGTGCATGGATTCCTTAACCAGAAGGCAGGGATGGGTCCCAGAAGATGAACTGACCTGCGAAGCCACCGACCAAATAAAAACTGTTCTGTCACGTCTGAGACCCCCACAGGAGGGACTAGACTCAGTTTTGGAACAAAGACTGAGATTGAAGAACATTCTGTGCTGCAACTCAGCCGTGGAAGCAGAACAACGGAATGTGACAAGCAAATTAGTTTTACCAAATGTTATTATCTGAAAACTATAATTTAATTAATGGGACGGTGTAAGTGTTGGCACAAATCTAGTTTTTGCATCACCTACAATTTTAGTCACAACAGTGCTCTTATGCAACACAGATGCGCCTCTGGATTCCTGACTATTACTTGGAGAAATTAAGAACCTGGATAAGAAGCGTTAATTTTTTTTCAGTTCACTGTATACCAAAACCACATGAATCAAAGTAGTTACATATGACCTTTAATATTTTAAAATTTAAGGATTCTTGGGTTTAAACATTACTCACTTTTACTCCAAAAATATGCTTACTGAATCATGATAATCTTGACAGTAAACAAACTATTTTGGCTCATTAAACTCTATCTGGGAAAAAAAAAAAAGATAGCAATGATGTGTGAATATGCTCCCATATACTAATATGAAAAAAACTACCCTGTATCTTAGGAGGAAGGAGTATCTTTGTCAGCCGTAAGAAAGCACACCCAAACCCTCCAAATTCAGTCACCTATTTTGCAGTATTTGAAGATGGTTTAATGGAAAGCTATGGGAACAGCAATACACATCTTGCTAAATTATGACACTTTTGAAATGAAAAAGTAGTTTTAGAAACTGAACTACATGACTTTAGGATGTTTACAATGTATTGTATTCAACTAGTAATAACATCTTTAGAAACCTTGTAACCCTGAACATTTTTATTTTTATTTAAAAGATGGGAGAGATGAAGCTTTACACTCTCCCGGATCATATAATTATATTTTGAAAAACTACCCAGTTAAGATCAGCTCTATAGTTGTAAAGTTAAACACACATACTACACCTGTGTTAATTACAAATACAAGAGAAGCTGCCCCTATCTCAAAAGTGAAATCAAACTAGAGCACAGAAATCTGTGCATGCAACGCTGTTGCTCAGTTCACACACCTGAAAATTTAAGAGCTGCAGTGTCATGCTTGTCCATAATTAGAAAGTTGATATACATTAGTAACTCTGGTCATAGATGGCATCTGAGTAAGTCCAGAATTTATGGAGGCCTTGTATTGCACACAGCCTACAAGTATTACGTGTTCTTCTGTGAAGCGAGCAGCCCATCCCTTTGCCTACACTGCATGGCACATGAAATTAATTTGCAAAGGTGCTGGCAGTTTGTAACTCATAATGGAACACATAAATAACATTTCAATCTAGAGAACAAAACACGGAGATGCAATTTAAAGATTCAACATAGAAGTATATTAAGTTTATAAATGGCAAAACTTAAGTTTGAAGTGGCTTTCTTACCTAAAGAATGCTTCCAAGTTACAATTGGCAATAAATGAATGAACTGAGGCAGCTGCAGCCATGGGGCACTCACAAGCATCTGTCTGCTTCCCCCTCCTGTCTAGATAAAATGTCACAAAAACCTTTATTAGTTTTGGAAAAAAACAAAAAACAAAAACCAAACCCTTGTATTACATCCCATGCAAAAATGATAGGAAAATATGATAACATCAATTTATATGTTTTCTTGCTGTAGTAAAGGAGCTTGAGGACATCATCTTAACACAAGGTAGCAAATCCCACACTGCAAATACCATGTCACTGATAGAAATGTGAGGTCAGATTAAGTGTAAAATTGATCTGAAACAGGTGTTGCAGCTGTGTTTACACCGAACTGGCCAAAGGCACAACGTAAACAGTAAGTTATTCAATATTTGCATTATCGTTAGTAGTAAAGTTTGGTAAACAACACTGTCTATAACTATGAACATAATCTAAGAGTCATGGAAAACATGGGGGGGAAAAAAAACAACATTCTTTTTCCTGTCTCTTTCCCTCTCTAGCAGCTGTCTGTTGGCCTAAGGAACTGTGAGAGGGATGATCAGAACACAGAGGCCACATGGCACAGCTTCCTACCATTAAACCTGCAGCAGCCTTAAGTCACCAGCCGTGGACACTCCATCACACGGCCAGGAGCAGGACAGGAGCTGTGGCCCTTCAACAGCCAACAACCAGCCGGCAGCCTCCCCCCTGTCTGTGAGCTCCCAAGAAGCAGCTGACAGTCTGTACAACCTGGAAAGTGTGTTACAAGCTACCACATCAAGGGACATTAGGTTAAAAATCCCCTACCTCCCTCCACACTATTTTCTTTTAATAGTACCTAAATAAGTTTGTGTTTCAGTGCCTTCCACCATACGTAATCATGCAAAGATTTACCCTCAAGAATATCAGTTTGCTTTTATAAAAACACACCAAATAACCAAATTCTTCCTTATGATAAACTTTATCCACCTATCATGGGGTGGCAGGGGGAAAAGTATACCCTTCCAACTGTTCTAAACTCAGGATTTCAGTATTCTTCCCAACACTTCTCAGTGTGGCTGCAAGCAAAGTAGTTGTTAATAATAAAATAACATCTAAAAATTAAGAAAAGGACAGTAATATCCTTTTATAGTAGGAAACGTATCAAACATAGTTCTATTAATTAACGTAGTCGATAAAGACTAGCTGCAACGTTCAGCAGGCTTCTGAATTTTACAAAGGTTTGGACAAGTTACCTGTAACAGCTCTATACTCCCTCCTAACCATAGATCACCTCCTGATGAAACAAACTTCTTTCACGGACCCGTCCCAGAATCCCTCAGTGCAGAAGTTTGTGCATTGCAGATAAAAGTAACAAAATTTTAGATACGTTTAAAAAGTTACTGAAAAAAAAAAAATCAGGTGTACAACCTGACGATGCTTCCTTTAAGTGTCCAACACCACAAGCTTAAGTCACATCAACTCATGTAAACAGAAATGTTTGTAATAAAAATAACGTTATCAGAGATGCAATCAAATACAGGCTTGTTATGCAAATAACAGTGAGTTGTTAGTCTAAGGTAGAGTTACCCAAATTATCATCAAAGGTAAACAGAAGCAACACAGTCGTTGAAAAAACACTTTAATAACCGATGGGGTTTATCAAATCTAGTCATATCCTCATTCGTGTAAAGCAAAGCATCAAATATTGGCTCGCTACCCTATACAGTTTTTTGCCTCTATAACCTCAAAGTCCTGTGATCAAGTATTTTGCACAGCTGCATGTTATACTGCTCAAACTCAAATCCACTAAAAAAAAGAACAGCAATCCAGAAAAATTCAAGTTAAATAACCGTTTCTGCAGCTTATCCCAGTAACAGAACTGTAAACTTCCACTAAAATTAAGATGTTAAAATCTCTCCATGGGGGATTCTGAGAAGTGGTCAGTAGCTGCTCAGTTATGCCAGCAGCTGCTCACTACCTCCTGCGCAATAATGTCACTTGCAAAAAAAGAGGTTTTAGTACCCAACATATGACAGATTCAAGCCACAAAGTAATAACTGTTTCCTCCGATTTGTAAATTCCCCTTTCAGTTCTCAACACCAGGACTCGGCAGGAAATTAGTAAAATTAAAACACCATAAAATCAGGTTGCTAATAGAGACAGTAAAAAACCACCCAAACGAAAACAAATCCAACAGAACTAAAGTTCCTGAGAAATAAAATACCTTTCAAATAACTGAGCTTGGAAATCCACCGGGATAAAGCGGGCATCACAATAATTAAACTTTCCAACGCCTGGAAATGAATGCTTATGAATTTGCCTTTAACATCTGAAATCCTTGTCACGTTAATCATAGTGTCTTTAAGAAATCACAGTTCAGCGATAGTATCAAGGTCACTCACTCACGACGGGAAGGAATTCAGACTCCATCTGGGGAAGGAGAACAGCAGATGCTGCACACAAGAAAAGCAGCGCTGCAAAGCTGTTGCAACCCCTGATGAGAGCCTCAAATTCAATTGCTATGTTTCAAAACATAGATCAAAAAAAGCATTTTAAGCTTAAATCTCAGAACATCTAGTCCTGCAGGATGATGAACGCCAAGATTAAGCTTTTTCTTCATTTAGGGCACAGTGATCTTTTAATAGGTGGCATTTTTGCTTCTGAACAGGATTTTTAATATTTTTTTAAAAAAAACAATCCTGACTTTTCTCAAAACTGAGCCTCTCAAGGGATGTATCACATTTTTAGTACGTTTCTGACAAAACCTCGGAGACCTAAAAATAACTAATGCTTGCATTAGTTTTAACTGAGTAAACACAAACGCACTGCTACTTTCAGTGTTACTTAGGCGACAAAATTCGTGTTCTATTGCTGCACTAGTCTTAGAAAAAAAGCTACCTGCACCTGAATAGCCTTTAGTCTATGAAAATCACCCAAGACTCCCTTCGTTTCACTAAATGACACATTTGAAGCTCCACAGCTCTTTTTTTTTTAAAAAAAAAAAAAAAA